TGAAGCTTTAAGGGTAGCATACAGTTTGGCCAACTATAAACACAATGTCATAGAGCAGATCTCTGCAACTTTGTCATCTTGCATGACTGAAACTCTACACTGATTGAACAGTAAACACTGAACATGTCCTCATCCTCTTAGTCCCTGGAAAATGCCACTCAACTTTATGCTTCTGTAAGTTTGACAACTTTTGATATATCCTAGAAATGGAATCATGCTGAATGTGTCCTTCTGTGACTGTCTTATTTTATTCTGCATAGTGTATTCAAGGTTTCTCCCATGTTACGGTATATGACAAAGTTTCCCTGTTTACCTTGTCTTGGGCTTTCTATTCCATTCCATTGGTCTGTACATTTATGTCAGTTCCATAGAGTTTTTATGAATATAGCTTTGTAGTATATTTCAAAATCAGGGAGTGAGGTCCCAGCTTCATTTTGTTTTCTTAGGACTATTTTGGCTCATACAACTTAGATGCCTCCAAGTAGAAGTCATTTCCTAGCTTAGCAGTCTCCTCTGTGGAGGGCACTCAGCCTCAAAATTCCATCATTCTTCAGCCAAGGATGACTTGGGGATGTGCCCTGATGCCCCTAGGTTCTGAATAGTAAGTTAAGGAGGCCTGGTGGCCACAAGTTAAAAAGTCTTAGGGATTGCATACACTCACCTCTTATCTACTGATGAGAAACTGAGGCCCACAGAGACAGCTGGGGGAGATCTAAACTGCAACCCAGGAAGCTGGCCCTATTTCAATATTCTTTACATGTTGTTAAATAAATGTGTTAGAGAAGAGTCACATTAGAGAAGGAGGCAAAACAGTACAATTCCAGGTGAAAAAGGAGGGAAATCCAAAAGGATGCCCACGTGTCCTGATGTAAGAGTTTCTAGGTAAAGTCTTGCTGTGGAAATGACAGAGGCACTGCTAAAGTTATTTGCAAACAGGTCTGTGAGTCAGGTCTTCTGACCCCTCCAGGCCACCACATTTTCTAAAAGCAGGCATAACTTCCGGCAAGGAGAGCAGCTCTGAAAGAAAGGCCACTTCCTAAGGCCTAAGAGCTTCAGAGCTTCTTCTTCGTCATTGTTGTCATCAGCAGATCCCCCTGCCCAGAACTGTGGCTGACGAGTTTCAGAGATCATCAAACCAGAAGCAAAGACTCCAGGACTTTCTCCCAGTCAGGCAATCAAGCATGGAGCCTACAGAGGAGATGGCGCAACCATTAGAAAGGAGAGATTGGAGTCAAAATAGGGCTGAACATGGGAACTCGATCAAGAAATAAGCCAGTGCCATGGTGCACACCTGTCATCCCAGCACTCTGCAAGGCCGAAGCAGGAGGATCATAAATTCTGTGCAAGACTGGAAAAGGTTGTTCGTTCAGGACAGCAGCTGAATACAGGTGGAGCCAGATGTGAGGAAAGAAGGGAGGAAGCCGTGAAGGGACTGAAATATCAAGAGGTCACTGACTCTTTAAGAACCTGGCATCAGAAGAAGGCAGGACAGCGGAGGCGAGTTAACAGGTAGTCTTGCTGTTTGCTGATAACCCTTCAGTATATGATACTTAAACCTTACTCATTCAAAGGATAGCAGGCTCATGCCTTCAAGGAAGGAGTTTAAAAAAAACTCTCTATGTTCCTTCAGTGGAACTGAACCTACAGTGTCCCTTTTGATACAGGAACAACAAAAAAAACATGTATTTGTAAACCGCTGTTTAGTAACTAGTGGGAAAGTTGAAATAATAGACTACCTAATACTAGGTAGCCTTATGAAAATGTATCTCTTAATTATTTTTGAGTTTATATTATTCAAAATTATTATTATTTTTATTATTATTTGTCTTTTTGAGACAGGATCTCCCTATGCAGTTCAGGCTGGCCTTGAGCTCACTTTGCAGCCCAGGCTGGTCTCAAACTCACAACGATCCTCTTGCCTCAGCCTCCGGAGTGCTGGGATTACAGGAGCAGGCCACCACACCTGGCTGATTTTCAAAATATTTTAAGTTACTTTTCCTTTCTTCAGAGCTGCTTCTTATTTGGGGGCTGTTTTACTGAGGCTTAATTCGTAAGGGGCGGCATTGTTTTGATATGGCTTTTTACAGAAGTAACAAGTTTGGGGGCTATTTGTATATGAGAGCAGATACAGATTAAAAACCAAGCTGAGATGTTGCCTACCACGTGACTGTTGGCAATGAATGGAATACCTTGTCTATAGTACACTGTCACTTCTGGACTAAAAAATGGAGAAAGAAACAATTTTTTTTTCTGGTACCGGGGATCAAACTCACAACTTCGCACTTGCCAGGCAGGCGCTTATGCCGCTGAGCTAAATCCCCAGCCCCGAAACAATTTTTTTCTTTGTGTTGACCTTGGTGATGAAGTAGGCTGTTAGTGTTAATTCAGACTGAAGAAATTATCTGACTCTTGGTTTGTGTATATTTACAATCCGTGTGCATTACTAGTAACACAGACAGCTTTTACAGTTCCGTGTGTGTACATAGGCTGTCCCTCAACCCCTCCTATATCCATTAGTTACCAAATTTTATAACCGGCCTTGTAACATTACAAAGTTTTGTTGCATCCAACTTTTTAAACTTTATAGTACAATTCTTGTCATTTTCTGAGGTAAACCAAAGGTATATTTCTCAAGGTTTTTGCTGCCTTCTATGGCAGCATTTGATGGAGGCGTTTTCATACTTTTGAAACATAAAAATAAACCGGATTGCAAATTCCTGTAAAAAATCTTAAACCGCAATAAGTTTTGGGTTGAAATTGTGCAGGATAGGCCTTAAATTTCGGCAGCCCAGTTCCCCATTCTCAAGCCTCAGGGGGTCTGGGGGAGTGGGGAGTCTTTGGATGGTCCCAGTGGTTATGTCAGGATCACTCCCCTCCCACAGAACTTTGGCCTTATATTTTTCCACAAAGGAATAAATAAAAATTTGGTGTGACATTTTCAGAACCTTATCACGTGCCTATATGAATAGTCAGCCAAGAAATGCCCAAAACATAGATCAGAGAAGATGAGGGAGAGTCAAGTCTTGTAAAGACCGGAGCTGAGTGATGGAAACTTTGACCTCCCTACTGGTGGCTTTGGAACTCCCTGCCTTGGGAACTCCACAAGGAAGGAGCTTCACCTTACGAAGGCTCTCAGTGTTCTATCATGGCCCCCTAAGTCTTAACTGTGTGCCCGGACAGCATAGGAATGCACCTACAAAGATATCCCGCTGAGACTGGAACTTTCACATCAAAGAGGCCAGGACCGCGGATGGAAGTTAGGAAGCTCTGCTAATGGGACATATTTCCAAATGTGTTCGGCCTGTGCTTGTCTTGCGGCCCATTCTGATAAAGCCCAGCAATGGATACAGGCAGAGCTCTCGTATTCTGGGTGGTGACTCTTGCCTGTTTTTCCCTCAAGCACAGCAAATAGGGTTGGAAGTGACAGAGCCACCTGCCTGATAGTTAAATGACAATTGTCTGACATTTGGGGAGGCAGTGGTAGGACCCCAGGCAGTGTAGCCATAAACCAGGTTGCAAAACTGTAGATTGGTGTTTGTTTCCCTTTATACCCATTGGTTATGTAGCTTAGGATCTGGAGTCCTGGATCCAAGGTCCTTATTGAATTTTTTTTTTTTTTTTTTGTCTTTTTCATTTTTTATCGGTACCGGGGATCGAACTCACGACTGCCTGCTTGCAAGGCAGGCACTTATGCCACTGAGCTAAATCCCCAGCCCCAAGGCCTGTATTGAACATGCACTGTATCTTACACAGTTTTTTCTAGTTCCTAGGTAATGTCCAGGTTCTCCTAGCTCCAGATGGAAGGGGAGTGTCCCAGGCTCTAGGGGTAAATAGATCTTACAGAACTTAGACTTGAATAGTGAAAAACTATTTCTTCTTGTTGCCTGCAAACCGAAAGTAAACTTTTCCTTTCATTAGGAGCATAAGCAAAACTCCAGTAGCATAATGATACCTGGGACTCTGTCACCACAGGAAGCAGATATTCTTGTCATACCTTACAGTTGTCACAGACATCTCCAAGGATCAGAAATCCTCACCATGCCTATGAAATGGTGTTGCCGTGGTTTATAAAAAAACCTACGTATGGTATCACTATGATTTAATATTATTTGCATCCTTTGTAGTCTCTATTTAAAATGTATTTAAAAATATGATTTTAAGCAGGGAATCAATAGGCCTCCTCAGGCCCTCAGAAAGTTTTTTAATTACAAGGCACAAAACCTGGAGGATTCTTATATTAAATGCTTGATCATGTTACTGTAAAGTGCATGCTCATCTGACAGTCTCCTCTCTAACCCAGACAAGCTGCTAGTGGGCGCCGTTTCAAGCAAGATGAGGGGGATACAGGAGACTAGGGGTCAGACTTTCTCCTCAAATCTTACTGACAGTTTACTGTGTGGACCAGCTCTGGGAACATATAGAGAAAAAAGTTTCTTATGTGTTTATTCCAGCTCTGCTCAACTCAGCCCTGGGGTTCGGCACATCTGATACACCCATCCAGCACCTCTAAAGCATGCAGGCTTTGAGAAGATAAAAAGAAAGATCAAGTCCCTTGGTGTCCCTTTGTCAAGGTTCAAGGGTCTTCAGAGAGGCTCATCCTACCCAGACACCGCCTCCAATTCAGCACCCCAGCCTCAGGAAGCAGGGCGCCAGCATGATTGCCTGGCCAGATGATAATAATAACATCATTAGCAGTAGGCATATTTATTTAGTGCTTAGTATTGCACCATCCTGCTGCATGACAAATATTACCTCATTTTATCTTTTTACAACCCATGACTTAAATGTTGTTATTATACCCCCTTTACAGTCACTAAAACAATAGTGATAAAAGTGGTGTTAGACTTAATTATGCCAAACTGATTGACTTGAGAGTTACCTAGGAAATTGGTAAAATATTCTTCTTGGTGTGTCCGATTGTGTCATGGAAGTGTGACCTTGAGTACTGTATTTGGTCCCTTGCCCCTTCCTTTCTGGACTAGTCCTGCTTTGTTTCCTAGACTCCATGAACTGAGGACTTTTGTTCCACTGCATTGTTCCACTATGATGTTTCTGCCTTGGACCCCGTTGACCATGGACTGAATGCCCTGAAACTGTGAGCCAAATGAAACATCTCTTCCTTTAAATTGTGTGTGTTCAGTAGTGTGTCCCAGCAATGGGACAGCTGACTGATGCAACGCTCTGGTATCTAGTTGTATATTAACATACGTGCACATACCATCTGCTCCACTTGAGAACTCGGGTGCCAGGACTAGAGTGTGTGGTGATACGTGTATTAGTGTTACTGATGTTGTCAGGTCTTTGCGGAGGCAAAACCTTTGTATGGAATCCTGAGCAAGAATCCTGACCCTAGGGCAATTACTTGCCTTTTCTGTGCCTCTCTGTTGTCATCTGAATCATCCTCCACCTACAGGGGATGGTGAGTGCTATGCATTTAATTCAGTTTACTACAATTATTCATACTGTTAATGGAGTAGTGGGTTAATGGGTCTTCTAGCTTTCTGCATGCTACTGTCTCATGCTATGTGACACCCTGAGCCACTTTACGACTCTGCCAGCAAGAAAGTCATCACCAGATGTAGCCCTTTGACCTGGGATTACAGCTGTGGGCCAAATTAAGTACTGTTTCTCATAATTTATCCAATCTGTGGTATTGTGTTTATAGCAATACAAGAATGGCCAAAGGGGCTGGGGGAGAAGTCATAGAGTCTGTTCTTAGCATATGTGAGGGGCCCTAAGTTCTGTCCAACCACCACACACACACAGTGGACTGAGGCAGTAAGGGGGAAGTGAGGCCATCTACGTATAGTTTTTAGCACAGCACTTACACCTGTAAGGTAAACGTAAGTTAGTAGTGAGCGTAATTCATAATCACAAAGATGTCAATAAGGTATCAGGAAACTGGTGATCTCCAAGGTGTAGGGGAGAGGAGGGTGGAGCACTCTGGGCATGCCTTGAAAGCAAAAGATGCTCAAACTGTGATTAGTTCAGATTTGCTGCAGTAAGCACCTACTAGGTTTGCCTGGACAGCGTATGTCCACTCTTCCTGTGATGATCCACCACCATCGCTTTGGGAAATGCCCTTCCCTATTCCATTCCTCGGGATCTCACCTGGCCCCTCTATCCAGGGCCCAGGCACTGGTCTCTCTTTTGCCCTGTATTTCAAAGCTCATGGCATAAGGGACTGGCTGACTTTTCTCTTCTCCCTGTTACAGAGTGAGGAGAGCAAATCACAACTCTTGGGAGATTATTGGAACCTCTGGATCCAGATGTGCCCCAAACCTGACACATTCCTGGATGCTCCTGACTTGTGATTGAATAGCTCTGGGGTTCTTTTTCCCAACCTATTAAATTCCATTTCCATCACTGTAATGGAGAGTTCTGGTATCGTTGTGAGTGTTATTTGACTATATTCCTATACATTGGGTGAACGCCAACTCCATATTTTACTCCTTACCCAATATTTTTGTGTATTCACTACTCACGAAGTCGTCATCACCATTCCGTCATCATCATCTACCGTCAGCAGTGTGGAGACCTCGTGTTAGTGGGCGTGGATACAGCAGAGAAGGAAGTTTTCAAGTAGCTGGAGTGGTGAGCTGTGTCTCAGAGCATGAGAGGAACTTGGTGAGATAAGAGCTGGATCCTAGAGCTCCTAAGGAGGCACTGTTCCCTGCTCGCTCTCACTTTGTCCTGGGTACCTGGAGTGCAAAACAAATGCAGGGCTCCTGCCTTCTCTGCACCTAACAGTTTGTGAAAGAGACCAACAAGGGGCTGCACTGGAGAGCAATCTGGAAGAAAGCAGCTCCCTAATGACAATTTCTCATCCTATGTTTAGTCACTGAAGAATCAAACACGTTTTAAATCTAGCAGCAAACGCAGGAAGGGTTGCTGACTTTAAGTGGACGGCCACAGTGGCAGGAAAACCATGCGTGGTTCCCATTTTTTCAAACCAACATCAACCAGCCTGCCTTGTAACCAACTGTAGTACTGATCGCCTACCACTAGGGAGAGAAAGAGGATAAAAGTTTTCTCATCCAAAGGCGCCTGGTCCATTAGGGTCCTGTTTGGGCTCTGGTTGTTCTAGTCCCTGTGATTTCTGGCAGGGTTCTCTGCAGAGAGGGTACAGTGAAAATTACAGTGTGACCTTTGAGGCAGCGAATCTGCCTAGACCTGTGGTCTCCCAGGTGTGTTTCTTGCATTTCTGGGGGGTCACTGAGACCCTTTTGAAAGAGGTCAAACGGTTTTCAAATTAATAGCAAGACATGATTTGCCCCCTCTCCTTTTGGTCTCTGCACCAGTAATGCAAAAGTGACGGTGGTTAAAGGTGCTAGCATCTTAACAGGAACCAAGATGCCGGGAGAAAGCCAGCGAGCAGCGACCACATTCTGCACCAGTGCACATGCACAGAAAGGAGAGCGAGCTGCAGCAAGGGCTGCCCTGAGCAGTCCATAGTTGTATGAAATCTTGGTCCTTGAATTACAATATGAACGCACACGCAGAACACACAGAGCATCACCTGCCAGTCAAAGTAGGCAGTTTATCAGGAAGAAAAAAACATTCATGTGTCTCAAATGGGAGTCCTTTTTATTGGAGAAACATCATTTCATTTTTAAAATTATTATTCATTTATTTTTCATTTTTTGAGACACAGTCTTGCTATGTAGTCCATTCTGGCCTTGAAGTCACTATTTTTTATTTATTTATATATTTGTCTTTTTTGAGACAGGAAAGCTATGCAGTTCAGGATGGCCGACGCTGGTCTCAAACTCGCAACAACATTCCTGCCTGAGCCTCCTGAGTGCATTGATTATAGACATGCACCACCGTGCTCAACTCTTGAAATCAATAACATTGAACCCAATAACATTGAACCCAGGCTGCTTTTGAGCTCACCATCCTCAAATGACCTGAAAACTAAGATTTTTTTCAGACTTCGCTATTTGGGAGATATTTCCTCAAAAATAAAATGAGCTTTCCCCTTTAAGGGAGACAACTATCATTAGTGCCAATGATAAAAGTTGAGCTTTTCAGAAAAACAGAAATCTACAAAACCACAGTGAGCTTCACAAATTATTCCTACTTGAAGACTTTAACAACTAATTTGGTAGAGATATTAATTTGATATTTTTATTATGTAATGAAATACATCAGTTTTGTATAACTTAGTGAACCACTATTTTATCCTCTGAATGAATTAAAGATCTGCTCAAAGCACAGTATAAGCAATAGAGTTTAATATAAGAATATAAAAAAGTACAAAAAGTACATTCAGCCCTGCATGGTGTGCAGCATACCTATAAGCCCAGGCACATGGTAGGCTGAGGCAAGAGGATCACAAATTCAAGCCTAGACTGATCAACTTAGCAAGACAGTCTCAAAATAAAATAAAAACAGCCAGAGATGCATACACAGGCTCTGGGTTCAATTCCCTGTAATTAAAAAGAAAAAAAGTTCACTGATATGGTCTCAGGTTGCATATTGTTACTAATCTTTAAGAAGCTAACATTTTGGTAGTTTGGTATAGTCCGAAAGGTAATCAGACACAGGAATATCCCAAAAGCTTTTAGAATAGCCCTTCCTTTTCCAAATACTAACCTATGAGGGCTGGATTTTCCTCCTGTGCTTTAACCCAAATAATATATTACAGCAACAGACCTAAGGCAGAAGCAGACAGCAGGCTCTGCCCACTGCTAGCCAGCAGCTCTCAAGGAAGTGTGCATCCATCTGCCCCCCTGCTTAGTTACAAAACCTACACATGGCTTGCATCTTTGTCTATACAACCTTCTTCTGGAAACAAAGGGTCTGGTTGAGGACAGCTGTACTAGGCTTCATGCAGTGTGAAAACGCCATATGCTTGTGATAAATAATAATTGTTTGTTTTATTTTAAAGAGAATAAAACCCAGCAAAACAAAACAGAGGAAAGCCAATCAAAACAAAGCAGTGAAAGTGGTACAGAACTTTGGAGCAGGATAAAAGGAAGTCAACAGTGGCCACCATCGTGTATCTTGGTATCTTCACAATAGCTGTCCATTTCATCAGATATAGTAAAATCAAATAAAGCAAGACAGAATAAAACCAATCATAATAAAACAGTGGATAAAACAAAACAATAAATTGGAACAAAACAAAACAGTGAGAACAACATTGAATTTCAAAAACAAGACAGAAGGAATCCCCTTATTAGCTATGCTGCATTCTGTTATCCCCCAATAGAGGCTCAGACTACCAGCCTTAGGTCTGCAAAGCCAATCAAACAATACAAGCATTCAGTTGTTTTTGCTCAGTTGCTATGAACTCAGTCTGTCCTCTGAACCAGCTGGTTGCTTGGTGTGTGTGTGTGTGCGTGTGTGTGTGTGTGTGTGTGTGTGTGTGTGTGTGTATGCAGATTTCCGATTCTCAGCCTGTGCACGGGCTGGCTCACAGGAAGGGTGAACTGGCTTCTCTCCTCCTGGGCCCTGAATGGTTTTTTCAGCTTACCAGAAGGGCACACTGGCTTCTTGAGGTGCTCCTCCCAGACCCCACAATGTGCATTTGTTTGGGAGAAATATATATAATGTATATTATCTTGATTATTTTCATCCCTTTCATCTCTCCTTCAGTCTCCTTCTTTCCCTCTCACTCTGATCCCCTTTCCCATCTCCAAAAATTCTATCTCCCTGTTTCCTACCATCTTTACTTTAACTATTTATTTATATTTTGGCTTCATCATACAAGAGAAACCATGCAATATTTAACCTTCTGAGTCTAATTTATTTCATTTAATATTATGTTCTCAAGATCCATCTATTTGAGCCAGGAATTTATCTCAGTGGCACAGCACCTGCCTGGAAAGCACAAGGTCCTGAGTTCAATTTTTGGTCATAATAACAACAACAAAAAATCCACCCATTTTCCTACAAATCACTGGAATTTATCCTTTTTATGGCTGAATAGTATTCCACTGTGTATACACCACATTTTTTGTATCCATTCATCTGGCGATGGGCCTTGGGGCTGTTACCATAGTTGGGCTATAGTGAATTACTTTGTTATAAACACGGCTGTGCATGCATCACTATAGTATGAGGTCTTGAATTCCTTTGGGAAGATACCTAAGAGAGGAATAGCTAGATCGAAAGGAATTTCTATTTTTAGTCTCCAGAGGACTCTCCATATTGATTCCCACAGTGTGCAGTAGGCCTTGCCTGTGCCTGTGTGCTCAGATGTTTCCCCTCTTTCATCTCACACAGTTTCAATGCTTCTGTCTTTTCCTAGCTCTGTCTTAGTCACTTTCTCATGGCTGGGACACAATACCCGACACCCACAAGTTAAGGAAAGAGAGGTTTATTTGGACTCACATTTCAGTCCATGGTGAGCTGGCTCCAAAGCAGGACAGCACGGCAGCCAGCGGTCGTGGTGGAGAAAAGCTGCTCATGGCGTGACCACCCAGCAGCAGCAAGAGCACAAAGGGAAGGGCCAGCAGGGGGATAAACCCTTCCAGGCCGGCTGCCAGAGTGCAGGGACTCGCCTCTTCCTACCAGACTGCCTGCTAATGACAAGGAAGCCAAGAGCCCCCGCTACCCAGTAAACTCTCAAAAACCCCACCCGTGAGCCCATGAGGGTTTGGAGAGACATCTAGACACAAAGCAGAGCAAAAATCTTTGCTCCATTTTGATTGCATTTTAGCACAGGGTGAGCGATATGGGTCATTTCATTCTTCAACAAGTGCATGAGTTTCTCAAGCTCCATCTGCTAGAGAGGCCCCAAGTGTAGGCTAATTTTAGCAACTTTGTCAAAGACCTGGTGGCCAAAAGTGTGTGAGGTAATTCTGTGTCTTCCATTCCACTGGTCCACATGTCTATTTTTTATGTCAGTAGCATTTTTTAAAACTACTATAGTTTCATAATATAACTTGAAATGCGGTACTGCGAAGCCTCTGCCTTTGCTCTTGTTACTCACTATGGCTTTGGCTCTTCTAGATGCATATAAACTTTAGGATCATTTTCTTCTAGCTCTGTGGAGAATGTTACTGGCATTCGGATAAGAAGCAGCCCTCCTTCCAGTGGTGCCCTCAAGAGGGTGCTAGAGCCCTACATGCAGCCTGGGAAGAGGTCGGTTTGTGGTCTTAGGGACCTGGGTTTGCTTTGGGTCCACTTGTTTGATCTTTGCTCTAGGTATAAACAGACAAGCAGAACAAAATTAAGACGGGGGACTGTGCATACAATAAAAACAGTACTTGATAGACTCTGCCACTGGCCTCTCCTCTGATTCCAGTTTTCCCTTAATCCTCCTCGCTAAAAAGCTGGCAACCTGACCCTGCTGACTTTTTTGCATGGCCCCTGGCCGTTTGCAAAGCCCCTTCCTATGCACAGAGCTCAGGCAGCACCCA